ACTGAGAAGTTACAATTCATTCACTTAACATTCATATCCATCCTATGTTTAAAGAAGTGAAGAATAAAATCACAAAGACTGATATTGCACTATACTTCTGCAAGGACTTATTGCAACTGGGGAGAACTGAGTAAAGAGAATGCTAGGTAACAGGATCTGTAGCTACATGTGAATCTCTATCTCAAATTTAAAAGGACAGTATTTTTAACAAAAAGCAGTTGGAGCAAAAAGATCACTAAAAGGACAGACTGCTAGACTGGAAAGGAGTCTTCTGAACAACACAAAAAGCAGAAGACAGTAGGAAGAACTATGGGGAGAAATGACTGTCAATACATTATTACGAATTAAGCCAAACAATCTTTCAAGAAAGAGAAATAATAAATGTAAATTCAGGTAACTAAAAACTGAGAGTAGCAACCCTCACCAAACCTATACTAAAGACATTTCTTAAAGATGTACAGAATAGTCCCAGGCAGACAAATCTAAGACCAAAGAGAACGGTAAGCAAACAAAATCAGAAATGTGCAACTTACTTGAAATAAATGCTGCACAAAATAATATTAGATGTACAGTAGTTGTTAAAAATAAAACAGTTAAAATAGTATGTAAAACAAGAAAGTATTTGAAGTTTGAAGTGTGGTAATTTAAGTATAGCCACTAAAGAAAAATAGAAGGAAAGTAAAAAAATTGGGGAAAACCCATTTTGATCAACCAAAAAGCTGAAAGAAGGGAAAATGCATAGGAAAAAGGAACAGATAGAGAACAAAAATAAGAAGGTAGGTACCAGCAGTTAGTGTAATGGCTATGTTGCTGGACACCCATGTAGTCGACTGTGGGTCAAGTCCTGGACCCGGTGGCTAAAACTCACACCAGGCGTGTGTGCGTGTGTGCGCAAGATCCCGAGAGGAAAATAGAGGAGAAGGGATTGCAGCGTGGCCATCTCCCCCGGGGGGTGATTTCTCACTTTCTGTCTCTCTGTCTCTCTCTGTCTTTCTGGCGAGTGCACATGCCCTATAGCAAAAATCTCTCCAAATAAATAAATGAATAAATAAATAAGAAGGTAGAAAGATACCAAAAATCATGATGAAAATGAATATATTTAGGCTGCCATTTAAAAGACAAAGATTTTGAAATTGGATTTAAAAGTATCAAAACAAAACATATTCTAGATATATAGTATTTATAAGAGACACCCCTAGAACATGAACACTTACAAATAAATACATGGAAAAAGGCATCCTAAGCAAACATATGCTACACACATGAACACACACACAAACAAAATAAAATGAAATAGAGTTACAGACAATAACATAATTAGCATTAAAGTTACTATATAATGATACAAGTTCAATATATCAGAAATACATAAAAATTCTGAAATTATATTTGATTAATAAAAGAAGCTTATAATTTATCAGAATTGATAGGACTGGGCCAACAGGTAGCGTGATGATTAAGGAGCTGGACTCCTACATGGCTGACAGCTATGTGAGTCCTGGACCTGGTAGCTTGAAAAAGCGTACAAGGTGAACGTGCATGTGTGCCCAAAATCCCTGGAGGAGAAGGGGGGAGAAAAAATTGTGGCACGGCCATCTTCCCTGATGTTCTCACTCTCCTTCCCTCTGTCTCCCTCTGTCTCTCCCAGCAAGTACATATGCCCTATGGCAAAAATCTTCAAAAAAAAAAATTGATAGAGCTACAAAAGATATCATCACTATCAAAATGGATCATTTCAACATACATATCTCAACTTTTTGTAGATCAAGCAAAATAAAAAGGGAAATTTTTTTTTGGAAAGAGGCAGGATATTAGAACAAAAGAAAAGCATATACATATATACATGTACACACACATGAATAATTTTGTACTCAGTTATTAGAGAACATACATTCTCTTAAACACTCACAGTTTTTTAAATAGCACACATGGTAGCAGTAGAAAGTATACCTTAATTAAATTGATAAACTATATTATGTAGGCCCCTTTCTCTAATAACTAGGCAATTAAATTAGAAATCAAAAAGAAAAAAATTTAAAACTCCGATATTTTAGAAATTTAAAAATAGTTTAAAATAACTCATGAGTCAAAAAAAAAAATTTCATGATAGGGGACCAGAAGATGGTGTAATGATTACATTGCTGGACTCCCACACACTTGACCACAGTTCAAGTCGTGGACCTGACAGCTTAAAATTCATACTGGGGGTGTGTGCATGTGTGCCCAAGATCCCAGGAGTAGTATGGAGAAGAGATTGCAGCATGACCATCCCACACTTGGGGGTGATTTCTCACCTCCTGTCTCTCTGTCTCTCCAGTGAGCAACGTGCCCTATCGCAAAAGTCTCTCTCTAAAAAAAGTAAAAATAAAAAATTCATGGTAGGAATTTTGAAATATTCAGAATCAAATAATAATGAAAATACTACATCAAATTTGTTAGACACAAGAAAAACAGTATTTAGAAAGGAAATTAAAGTCTTAAAAATACTCATATTAAAGAAGGTGAAAGGCTAAATATACACGAGACAACCTCTATAAGAAGTTAGAAAAAGACCCAGATGAACCCAAGGAAATTAGAATGGAAATACAAAAGAGAAGGACATAAGTCAGTGAAACAGAATACAAAGATATAGTAGGAAAGATCAACAAAGATAAGGGCGTGTCTTTGAAAAGACTAATAAATAGATAAATACATAACACGACCGAGCAAGAAAAGAATGCGCACCGCCAAACAATGTTGAAAAAGAAGACAGAAACATAAGTGCAGTTAGGCTCAAGATGAAAAAGATAAAAAGACAGTATTACTTTTACATATGCAGGTATGAGTATCTATATATGAGTGTGTGTATAATAACATTCTATAAGTAAGTTTAAGAGCGGACAAAATAGGCACTCTTAGAAAAATATAACGTACTAAAACAAGAATAAGCAGTAGCCTTGAAATAACTTAAAAAGTTGAGTTATTGTTTTAAAATCCTTTCATGACGAAATACCCAATCCAAATATTTTATTGAATGTCATCAATCTTATCTTTCATTTTAAAACTCTTCTCAAGAAGAGAAAAATGTCAATTCTCTACAAATGGTTCTATAGCTTCAATGTAATTACAATAGAAATTCTAACAGATTTTCATAGACTTTAACCAACAATTCACAACTTCATATGGATAACACAGAACAAAAACAAACCTCTTGTCTCTGAAAGACAATACAGTAGAAATTGCTTTACAGATATAAATCACTAATTAAGCTCAGAGATGGACACAGAAACCAAGCACACCAGAACAGAGAGCCCAGTATCAAGACCCTGCAGAAATAGAATCTTGAAATATGACAGAGATGGCATTGCAAATTATTGGGAGAAGGAGGGATCAATGAATGGCACATAAAACCTTAACACTTTTAGAGAAAAAGTATAAGAATTTATCTACAAACTTAAGACCAAAAAGGATTTTTTTTCCTTCTTAATTTGCCAGAGGTATGTGTGCTTTCCAGAGAAAGCCAGGGAAACAGAAAGGAAGAGTGAGAAATCAATCCAATGGCGTGTGATTATGATGTAATTCCTTCTCCACCTTTCTCTGCTCCCTTGGGACTGGGGGCATGCACGCACACATGCCCAGTGTTTTTCAAGCCACCACAGGCAGGATTCAAACTGTGTAGTCAACCATGTAGGATCTGACTCCCTTATAAACACCAGGCCACAGGGTAACCTCCAAAAAAGGATTTCTTAAAGAATTAACCACATACAACAAAATATTAATGAAATTCATATTTTTCAAAATGAAAAATTTTTATGCAACAAGAAACACCAATAAAAGAGTGAAAAATAAGCTAGCCTAGGATAAGCTATTTGTAACACATACAACTAACCCGATATTAGTATTCAAATGTATGTTATAAATGCCTTAAAAATATTTACTAATAGAGAAGAAAAACACAAAAATGGATACAACATCTAAATAGCCTTGTCACAGAAAATAAAAAACATAGCGCAATAAACATCTTCAAATCACTTAAATCCATTAGTAATTATGAAAACATCAATTAAAGCAATGAAATACCATTACATACAGATTAGATCTACAAAAGTTAAGTCTGGTAATATCAAGGGTCAGAGAGTGCATAGATACACAGGAGTTTTTAAACACTGCTGATAGGAACGTAAATTTTCAATCATTTTGAAAACTAATTTGATGTCTTCTGGTAAAGTTCAAGGTGTACAAACCCTCCAAGGCAGCAACTGCACCATGCATACTTCTTAGAGAAAATCCTGCAGGCATGTACCAGGCTGTGTATCCATAGCATTTAAACTGATGGAAACTAAGGTAGCAGAACTGTGTTATGCTCTACCTCATTTTCTTTCACTTATTATTCATGTATTTCATTCTTTTGTTTTGCTTTTTTTTTTTTTTCTCTAGGTTTTTGCCATAGGCTCTGTGTGCTCGTCAGAGAGAGGGAAAGGGAGAAATTACCCACTAAGGGAGACGGTTATACCATAATCCCCTTGGGATTCTATGCAAGCATGCACATGTGCCTGGCATGATTTTCAAGCCACTGGTTTTCATCAACATGTGCTGGAAGTCTACGATGTCACTAGAAAGTCACCAGAGAATCACAAAAAGAAAAAAAATCCTCAGAAATTTAAGGAACTACATTTTGCATCTATATCTCTATAACTATCTAAAAATAGCTGTAAAATAATAGTACCATAATTTTTTTAAAAAAAATTTTAGGTCTTTGCCACAGGGGGTGTGCACTCATTGGAGAGAGACGGTGTGAGGGAAAGTGAAAAATCACCCCCTAGGGGAATGACCTCACAGCAACCCTTTCTCCTCCCTTCTTGTCTCAGGATTCAGGGCAAGCACACATAAACGCCCAGTGATTTCCAGGCTACTTGTCCAGGACTCGAACCGCATTTGGCCATGCAGTAGTCCAACACCTTAACTACCACACCACCAGCTGGTCCAGTACTGTGATATTTTGTACTTATGTGTCCTTGCAGGAAGGTAAGTGTATATTTTGGAGCAAGTGGTTTTGAGAACATGGAGGAGGAGTGATTTTGCTTTAAAAGGAGAATGGTTGGTGAAAAGGCTTCACGGAGTGAAATTAAACTGTTAGCTAAATAACATCTTTTGTTTCCTGAATTAAAACAGGGCCATTTAGCCAAGAAACTAAAAATAATACTCTCCAAAAATGTGCTGAGTTAAAATTTTCCCAAACCTTAAATACATCCTAGTACTAAGAATAAAATTTTGGCAATTACATCAACTCTTTCTGAGCATATCATTTATAGGTTACGGCTTCAGGTTGACTATCAGAGAAAATTTGCTAACAACATAAACTGGCCCATACTTGAATATATTCCTGAAAGAGACTGGAATCTTTTCAGGATTCCTCTTAAAACATTCCAAAATCTATCTGTCCAAATGTGTATTATTGTAATAGTAGCAAATTTCATTTTTTAAATCAAAATCTATCTTATATGTTATATTTAGCTCTTAATATTCCAGACAATCTGCTAGGCCTCAGAAATGCAAGAATTAATAAAACACAATCCTTGACATCAAGAAACTCAGAGACCAGTGGGAGACCTTATTTAATCCAATAAATGACTATATAGTTGGGCCAACAGGAAGTGGGGTGGTTAAGGTACTAGACTCCCACATGGTCAACTGCGACTTGAGTCCCAGTCCTGGCGGCCTGCTTTCTCACTCTCTGTTTCTCTCTCTGTTAAGTGCTCTATAGCAAATTTATAAATAATAATAATAAATAAAAGTAAATAAATAATTCTTAAAAAATAGTTATGTTACTTGCAATATCAGAATTATGTATATAAAGTTGAAAAGGAATTCAGGAGGTCTTCTCCAAGTATGTGAATATGAGCCACTTCTGAGTAGAAAAATACGAGTAAGAGGTCAGTTAATGAAACTGGAAAATGAAGGATAAAATTCTGCTTTGATAAAACAAGCGTGCGTACCAGATTTTAAGGAGGTCATATGTGATAAATTATGATCTCAGAAAATATACTAAATACTTAGTTTAAGCAAATAGATTACTGTCATGTATATTATGATTGTCCAACCTCTATAAAGCAATATTTAGATTCACAAAGTTTTACTTAAATACTGTTTTTGCAATTTTTTAATACTTTTTTAAACCAGCTCAATGTGAAACAGACCTGGTTTTGAATCCCAGATGTGACTATGAGTAACCCAAGTTTGGGCACATACTTGTTATTCACCGTGCATGTATGTGTGTGTTTCAGTGTGCACACCAGTGCCATTTGGCTTACTGTGTTAGACTGTAGTAAAAGAATATGCCTATGTTGTCCTCATCTTTCTCAGGTCATAGGCAGAAGATGATACATTTCTGTGATTAGAGAATGTAATACCCCGTAGAAGGAGGATCTAGTACCATGCTTGACTTTAGAGGGTATGTCATAGGCCTTCACACCTCAGAGAAACACTTCTTTGTGTCTCTTGTCCTCATGCTGAGAAGAAAAAGATCTTTGTGTGTCAATCACTGAAGGTTTAGGGGTTGTGTCAAAACTGACACCTGAGACCAACACGACTTCAGAGTATGGGGATGGATTAGTAAAAGAAATCCCAAATTAGTGATGCAAATCTGTCCTCTCGGAACAAATGCAGTAAGTTCTTGTGTGTAATAATACATATTTTCCAGTAGTGCCAGGCATCCATCTCCTTACAACTCTCTTTCTGCTCATGATTCTCTATTCCTGTCAATAATTTAGCAAAATCTGACTAAAACACAAATAGATATCGGTTTGGCTATTTAATTACTTTTAATTTTTTGGAAAAAATTCTAAATCGAAATAAATTACACATGAAACAAAGTGACAGCCCAATAAAATATAAAGAAATTCAAAGGAGGAAATGAAAACATTGTTATGACAATGAAGGAGATGATTCAGGTATAAACTGATATATATTCTGGCCATTCTAGATATTGCTATAGTTTTAAGGATGAGAGAAAGATGAACAAGTTTAGTATCATATTTCTGTTTTGGAAAAACTTTCTTTTAATATCTTAGTATTAAAAAATTGCAAAAAACAGTAATTAAGTAAAACTTTGTGAATCTAAATATTGCTTTATAGACGTTGGAAAATTATAATATACATGACAGTAATCTCTTTGCTTAAACTAAGTATTTAGTATATTTTCTGAGATCATAATTCATCACATATGATCTCCTTAAAATGTGTGACCGTAACACATACATCAATAGATTCTTATTACATCCAAATATTCTCTCAGAGAGTCAGTGAAAACTGAGTTGCTAATGCTTCAGTACGGCAAATTTCTCTAAATTAAAATTAATCTCAAAAAATGCTCTAAGAACTACAACCGTTCAAGAAAGCTGGCTTCGTTTTTCAATATGTGTATTAAACAAAAGTTACCTGAACAATATGACAATAATTGCAATTAGGGTAAGACAAGGAAAACAAGTGTTATAAAATAAAAAGAATTACTGATTTACATATTTTAATTGAAATATTATTAGATTATTCAAAGACCACTTGCTATGCAAAATAATCACTAAATTCAATCATTATTGATATTTTCCCAACTCCTAGTACTATAAAAGTATATCACTATACATTTTTGAAAAATTATATTATAATGAGATTATTTGTGTCTTATTGCAGTAATCACTTATCATAAACATAATGGCTTAAAATAACACAATGAGACAGGCCCCATAGTGTATAGTTAAACACTGTATATAGAGGGCAGGATACATATAGCTGACCTCAGTTCAAATCCCAGACCCAGCAACTTCAGAAATATACCAGCCACATACGCCTGTATGCCCTTAATTCTGAAGGAGTGGAGAAATGAAAGAAAAAGGATTGTGGCATGACCACATATCATTGAATAGTGGTATCTTTCTCTCCACCTCACTCTCCGGTTATTGAAAAAGAGAAAAAAAGTCAGAAGTCCTAAATAGGCCAGCAAAGCTGCTCCCCACTAAAATCACTTGAACAAGGAACCCTATCTCATGTTTTGCTCTAGTAAATGCAATCTAAGATTGCTGATACCAGACGTATTCATAGAAAGCAGACTCTAAGGACAGAGACTCAGACATTTTCCAGTGAGATGATGATGAGAACCCAAATACTGAAGGTAAAAGAGAGTCCTTGAAATGCTGATGCATTTTGCTGACTTTCACCTGTGGAGACCTGTGACAGGATACAGGTGGGATAGGGATGCAACAGCCGGAACAACATCCTGGTGTTTTAGAATCATGAGGAAATAAAAACTCTAAGAATTGTGGAATTGGTTGGCTGTTCTAAGCACCATTAGTTGAAGAGAGAAAATAACAGGACAATGTCTATTAATCAATAAATAAAACAAAGTGTGAGAGTAAGAGGATCTCCTTGGCAACATTAAAGAAAACTTCAATTCCTGCACCTTTATGGTATCCATAGCTGAAGAACAGAGATAGGACTTAAGAGTCAGCAGAGCTTCAAGGAAGGCTGAATCTCAGTCTAAGCAGGTCTCCTGCCCAACTCAGGACCTGCTAAGGAAGGAGTGTGGCTCTGATGCTTAAATAAGGATATCTCCTGATGAAATGAAAAACTTTGAATCCTGAGGTTATCCAGAATCCAGTGTCCCTAAAGAAGTGGCCAATTCTCCCTTATTGGAAGATACACACACACACACACACACACACACACACACACACACACGATGAAGTTATACAAAGGTCTCAAATGAGGCAGGTGCCTTAGAGGACATTTTTTGCATTCTTAGGAATCACCTCGCCTCCTTTCTTGGCTCATAATTACAAATTCCATCATAACCTGACTCAGAAAGTGCTGGGCCAGCTAAAGCATAAAAGAAATGATATTTTATAAAGCTTCAGGACCTAGATAACATGTCACCATCAGGAACTGAGGCTGCTTCAAGGGAAGGGCAAATCAAGAGGGGATGGGACATAAATTTGTATTAGAGTTTTGCCATAGAGAAGTACTTTCCAGTGACACAGAATTTAATACCCTAGAAAGGGCCCCAGGGACAGTTGTAATAGGCCATCGGAATGACCCTTGAAGCTGGAAACGGTTTAAATGTTGAGAGAAGCATGCATTCAAAGAATGGACCCATTCCATAAAACAAAAAAACCCTGTAACTGTCCATATTACTTAGGGAGATCTAGAAGGCACTCCTTTTGTCAAAGCAATTAGGTTAGAGGGGCATCTACATCACTTAAGACACTGAGGACAATGGTAGAAGTTACTGTTACAGTACTGGGCTCCTTAATAGCAATGGGGGTGATAGAATCAGAAAATGACAAAGACCAGGTGGCAGCACATATCCATTAGAAGGAAGAAGGGCAGGATTACTATAATCTGCACCAAGTTCAGAATGAGTCAGCAAGGATGTCCACAGAATTTATGGAAATGGCTTATAGAACATTTTTGTCCTTTGAGGCACAATACACATCCAGCCAGTAAAGGCACTGTGTGTGTGTGGGGGGGAATGTATATGTGTGTGTGTGTGTGTGTGTGTGTGTGTGTGTGTGTGTATTTGTATATGACTAATCAAAGAGAACAATGACTGAGTAGCAGATGTTTGAGGTCAGCCACTTCCAGTGTAAAGGCATGCTTGCCTGCCCAGCTTTTAGACCTGAGACAATTCTCACACCCAGAACACATCAACTAAAGTGAAGACCCTTCATACATCCCAGCTAGACTGTGGATTGCCCAGATATTTCTAAACTATTGAATGCAAATTGATGCTGATAGCCAAAGATGCCAAACACTATCACGGTCCCCCTTCTCAGAGTAAAAGTGTGTGGAAGTCATTAATAAACAGAGTCAAAACCATGTCTGTCTCATAGTGGGTACTGGAGGTCCTTCCCCAGTTTACCAATGTGTAACTGGGATGAATGTACTTAGCAGTTGGCAGACCCCTAGATTTATTTTTTGAATTGTACTGTTAGAATTGTTAAAGCAGCCAAGATAATGATCCTGAAAGTGTCACTAACACCCTTCTATGGAGTTAATAAATATTTGTTAAAAAAATAAAAAATAAACAACCAAACAAAAATTCTAACTCCGTATTAGTTTTACCACTAACTGGGTGGTTTAAAACAACAGCAATTTATTGTCTTACAATTCTGGAGTCTAGAATTCTGAAAACAAGGTGTCAATAGAGTCATGAGCCCTTCAACATCTTTTTTTTCTTTTTCTTTTTCTTTTTTTTTTTTTTTTTGAGAGA